TACAGAGTCACAGAGGCCAAAGAAAAGATTACAGGCAAAGGAACACAAGGGCTGGTAGTTGGAAGTCAGGCTGTTGTGCCCCAAAGTGGAATGGGCAAGGGAATAGGGAGAGGCGCAAGCTACGTATGCATAGCTATGCCTGCTATGCATCCACAGTTTAGATTCAAATGTGCACTGTCAGGGGGACTCTTATACCGACACACAAGCAGGCACGTCCTAATCTGAAATAAGAATGATAACTGATAACTACTGTGGATGAGCACTTCTCTTGTCAAATCACCATGCTGTCATTTCCACTTAAGACATATGTGCACTACTGGGAAAACAGTGGAGCCCTGGTGGCACAAGTGGTTAAGTGTTTGGCTGCTAACTAAATGGTCAGCAGTTCAAATCCACTAGCTGCTCCTTGGAAACCCTATGGAACAGTTCTACTCTGTCCTGTAGGGTCGCTATGAGTCGGAATCGACTCAACAACAATGGGGGGAAACAATAAGGAGCCCTGGTAGCTCAGTGGGTAAGCGCTCAGCTGCTAACCAAAAGGTTGGTGGTTCAAACCCACCAACTGCTCTGCAAGAGAAAGATGTAGCAGTCTGCTTCCATAAAGATTACAGCTTTGGAAACCCTGTGGGGCAGTTCTACTCTGTCCTGTAGGGTCACTATGAGTCGGAATTGACTGTATGACAACGGGTTTTGGTTTGGGGAAAACAATAGGATCCTGAGTGTTCTTTGCGTTTTATAGTGTAGGATGAATAAAAGGTTAGTGGAGACAAAGAATATTTTAACTCACTGCACAGATTTTCATACATATTCTGGAACATTTGGAACATTTGCAGATTTATTAGGAAAATTAGACAGTGGTCCCACCAGTTGCCGTTGAATCAGTTCTGACTCATGACGACCTCATGTGTGTCAGAGTAGAACTGTGCTCCATAGGGTTTTCAGTGGCTGATTTTTTGGAAGTAGATTGCCAGGCCTTTCTTCCAAGGTGCTTCTGGGTGGACTTGAACTGCCATCCTTTTGGCTAGCAGCTGAGCATGTTAACTGTTTGCACCACCCAGTGACTCCTAGACAGTGATGTTTTGGGGATTTCTCATGTCACCAAAAGTCTCTTTATTTTATAAAGAGATTGGCCATGTGATTTCTTTAAATAGACCCAATTAAGCAAAATTACAAAGTAGGTACTTTTTTCCTTTGCTTTAGCGATCCCCACCCCATCCTCACCCTCACCCTCGATCCCAAATTTTATTCCTGTCTATCCCCTTTAAGCTAGTAACCTGCTAAAATGTCCCTAAAATCGGGGATGGGCAACTGATGGATCTTCAGTTCCTCAAGGTCTGCAAATGTGCTTGTGGCATTTATCTGGTATTTGGGCAGAAAAAGTTGCTCCCACCTGGAACCTAGAGAGCCTAGGGAACTGCTATTGGTTCTGGAGAGAGCACAGTGGGGCTGGAAAGAGAGCAGTCAGGAAAGCTTTAGGGGAGCCCTGGGGTTTAAAGAGGTCAGACTTTAAAGAAGTGGACTGTTTATCTTTTCATCCTAAGTCATCATTAATTTAAAATCTCAAGCTATTTACTTGAGTTTGTTTCGCTCACATCTGGCTTGTTGCTTATAAATTTGATTCTCATCTCCAAATTGTTGAGTTATCGTTATTCCAGTGTAAGTTGTTATATTTCTTTCTCTTTTATTGTTAGAATTTAAATCATGATTCCTTGCTTAAAAAAAACAACAACAAACTTTTGCCTCCTGATAAGCTGTGAGCAAAGATCTAGTATTGGCCTGTTTCATAGAAGAATGTATTTCCTGAATAATTTCATCATAATTATATGAGTGGCATAATATATATTATTATGAATCACATAATGTGTTTTATTCTTTTAGTATTGAAAACTTTTAAAAACCTGTCAGGGAATATGGAGCCCTGGTGGCATAGTGGTTAAGAGCTCAGCTGACAACCAAAAGGTTGGCAGTTCAAATCCAACAGCCGCTCCTTGGAAACCCTATGGGGCAATTCTACTCTGTCCTATAGGGTTGCTATAAGTTGGAATCAACTCAACTGCAGCAGGTTTGGTTTTTTGGATCAGAGAATAGTGATTTTAAATGTATGTATTTGTACTGTCCCTCTGTAATAAGATAGAATTTTTAAGTGCCATTTGACAGCAAAAATTGCTTTTAGTTTTGTGATGAAATTTTTGAGGATGTGTTAAATAGTGGAGTTGAATGACTATTGATCTCAGCCTTCATTTGTTAAAATATAATTTAAAATATATACAGCAATTTGCTAAATTTCGATGTAAGGAAGAACATTGCACTAACTTCCCTGTGGGATGCATTGCGCAAACCGGCCCCTAGGAGTCGTGTCAGCCATCATTCATCTGCATGGTCATTTCCTTCTTTACACTGCAGGTTGGTAACTGCGGGGCAACCTCTGACAGAAGGCATTCTTGAGAGAGAAGAGTATCGTCACTTCAAGAACCACTTGTTTTCTACTTAACTTTTCTAGTTGAAAATAATAGGACCAAATGTAGCTCTGTAGGATGGGAGCCAGCTGCCTGTGAATAGGCCCACTACTCTGCTCAGCTTTGGAGGGTAGCCCAGCACATAAGCACAGCTCAGGAGCCCCACTTACTGGCTGGGGTTGCAACTCAGGCTCCTCCACTTACTGGCAATTTGACTTTAGACAAACTACTTAACCCTTCTCTGCCTCAGTTTCCTCTTCTGTAAATAAAAACCAGTTGCCATCAAGTCGGTTCCAACTCACGGCAACCCCACGTGTGTCCGAGTAGGACTGTGCTCCATAGGGTTTTCAATGGCTGATTTTTTGGAAGTAGATTGCCAGGCCTTTCTTCCAAGGTACTTCTGGATGGACACAACCACCAACATTTCAGTTAGCAGCCAAGCACATTAACCGTTTGCACCACACAGGGACTCCTTTCTGTAAATAGGTATCATAATAGTACCTACCTCTTAGGGTTTTCTGTGATGATTAAATAGTTTAATACATGTAAAACACTTTTAAAAAGTACCTGTTATATGGTACATATCCATAAATTTATTATTATTATAACTAGGTAATGATATGATTTCCTATAATTCTGCAAAGGTCTGCAGCCAGTACATCATCATCACGAATCGTCTCTTAAATTAAGGATTTATACATTATTTAGAGATGGCGGTACTTGATGCTCTTCCAATTCTGCATCAATGTTATTGATTCCCATAGTTATACATATCACACATATTCCAGTGACTTCCACATCTTTGCACGTTTCTGGACTCTAGAGCCCTGTAATATACAGAACCGTGTTTCCTGGTGTTTACCAGAACCTTCACCTTGTTGCCCTATGGACACCTGGAATACAGAATGTCCAAAATTGAACTTAATTTATCTCCCTCCAATTCCTACTTTTCTACCAAAAAAAAATTTTTTAATTCCTCTTGTTCCTGCTTTCCTTATTTTGCTTGTGACATCATCAACTACTCTGTTACTAAATTTAGAAGTCTTAGAACCACCCCTACCCTTTATTTTATCACCACCTCAAATCAAGCATCTGCCAGGTAATGTACATTCTATGGCAGCAGTACCTTTCAGATGTAGATCCTGTTCCCCATCCCAGCGGTAGCTACTCTGGTTATGGCACAGTCATCTCTCCCCAGAACTATTGCAGTAACCTCCACATTGATTTTCCTGCTTCATTTCATTCTTCATAGTGCCATCAAATCTATTTAATTTCTAGTCTGATTTTTGCCATTCCTCTGACTGAGACCCTCCATTGAATTCCTCTAACTCATACCATAATGTAGGAACTAGTACAGTTCAGCCCCAGCTTCTCCTTCCCACCACCTCTCCTGCTACCTTCTACCCTGTGCCCCTAACAACACTGGGCTACTCACCCTTTCTTGAAAGCAGATTTTTGGGTCTTTAGGCTTTTGCATATGTGGTTCCCTATGCCTGGAACACCCTTTACCACTTTAACCACCTGCTGAACTGCTACTCATCCCCTAAGGCCCATCTGAAACATCACTTACTCTGGTTGGTTCCAGAATTCCATCACATGAAGTTATTGAGCCTTTACTTGTGTTTCTGTAATACCCTTTGACTCTGGATACTAATGTCACACTTGTAAAGATATAGAACCTCTTATATAAGACAGCAATTAACCTTGACAATAGAAATGTAAACAACCACAGTTATGGACTTTCTCCCCTGTTGCTAATAATATTAATTGACCACTGCAGCATATATAAAAAGTATGTGTGTGTATGTGTGTGTAGCTTATCCCCAAAAGCAGACTGTGAGTGATTCAGTGCTCTTTTCACTGTTGTATTGAAGAAACCAAGTAGCCAGCATGACTACCAGATTGGATTTTAAAAATTGAGCTCTTAATAAAGTATAGGGAGAGATAACACTGCAGTAAGGCTGCATAACAAACAACCCCCCAAGTTGCACTGGTTCACAACAACAAACAGTTATTTTTCTTGTTCATGGGCCCATAGGTCAGCTAGGCTTGGCTCCAGGCTGCGAGTCGAGCTTGGTCTGCTCCACCCGTGTCATCTGGGACCAGCAGCAACCTGGGACATGTTCTTCTCATGGTGATCACAGAGACACAGAGGCCGAGCCAAATCATTGCCAGCATGTCAGAGCCTCTGTTCATGCTGTATTTGCTAACATTACATAGGCCAAAGTCAGTCATGTGGCTAAGCCCATGTCCAAAAGGGCAGGAGGATTTACTCCTGGTTCTCCAGTGAGAGGTATTGCCAAGTCATACAGCAAAGGGCGTTGCTGTGTAATTCTAGTACAGGGAAGGAGTGAAGAATCGGAACAAGAATCCAGCCTACCACAAAGGTCTTATGATGCTGAAGTGGATTGTGGAAATGTCAGCTTTGAAAAAATAAACTGTTTACCAATTGCCTCTATCAAGACAAGGAGCAATTTGATGTTGCATTTACAACACTGCACTTTGGAATATGGTCTAATTATATTCATCTTTGTTTTTTTCTAGAAAATTGAAGATATTTGGATGGGGTCGCCATCACCCATTCCTGTGAGATACATTAGCTACATGCGCCTTTTAAAGGACGTGTTTGACTTGGAGGAGGATTAACCATGCCAGTTTCGGTCAACTGTCTTTGTTTTACTGCTCTAATTTTGCCAGGTTTATTTTAGTAGATATAATTTCATTAAAAGCAAAAAGGAAACAAGGCTCCTATTAAACTGAAATCCATAAACCACAATTAATCTTCTTTTGTCACTTTAGATTTTCAGAACATTGTATTATGTTGCTGATGTACTGGCACTATTAAAAATGCCATTTGAAGAACTAGCTAGCATTTTTATTAGATGTCTGATTTATTAATGCAAAAGAATCTTATGATAATTTTCCATCCAACAAAATTTGATTCATTCCAACATGAAAAGAAAATGAATTTTGATTGCTATACATGACAATAGAAAATCAAATTATATCAGAGTAGTAAGTTGTTATTCTATTAAACATTTTTTTGAAATCTCCTTGACATGTGTTTATTACTTATATAATTAAGCTTTGTAGCAACCTACCTCATCAAAATAATTCTTAAACTTCTCTCAAGAGTGAAGATATTTATTTTCTGAAACTAGTTAATCCATGGGAAGAAAAGATACAAAGGTACCCCCCCCACACACACACACGAAAATTTGGGAGAGAAACTGAAACATATTCAGTGTTTATATTTTTAATGCCCTTTTTATATCTGAAGCCAGCTTCTTACGTTAGGAATATATGCATGTGTATATAATTATAGTATGACCAAAAATGTATTATGACTAAAATATTGAGGGGTGTGAATGCTGAAGATTTTGAGAGATTTTTTTTTATTCATTTCACACACACGCAACACACACCCCCCCAGAAGTTAAAAAGAAATTCTAAAACTACAGGATTTTTTTTCCCCTGGATTTCTCTAGTTCTATTTTTTAATTTTTCTTCTGGGCCTAAACATCATGAGTCTCACCAGAACTTTTGCCATGTAGTGTCCATTTGATTAAAAGCCATGACCCTGGACCTCTGGGAATTCTGTGTAAGAAGTGTATGCCAGTCCACCCCATTCTTCGGTGTTGAGTCCTGTGTATCATAAACCCAGTTGCTTGGTCTTCTCGGAGACAGTGGAAGCCCATCAAGAAGTGATGGCTCCATTTACCTTTCAGGGACTGCTCTGAAGAAAGGAGGAGGGTAACTGATGACATCTCAAGAGCTCTTTCAGTCTCATTATTCTTTCATTCCACATTTGCAGCAGCATTTTGCCTATAAATGAGCTAGCTTCTTGGCACTCAGATGTACCAATTTGCTTAACAACAATGGCTCTTTCATTTTTTTTGAATTGAAGTTAATAAACTATTTGTATCTTTAAACCTGGGATAACCCTACATGTGCCATTGTTAGGATAGATACCACTGGCCTTTATGATAAACTAGACTCAATTTATATGCTAGAGCCATCTACCCTTAAAATCTAATTTTGACAACTTGATTTTTGTCCCAAGTTTTTTTTTTTTTTTAAGACAACTAACAGTGGAAAGCCATTTTGTGACTTTAAGATTTTTCATTCCCCAGGGAGCAAGATTTTAGAAGGGTGACACTTTCCTGTAACTTTTCAAGCTGACAGATTTGTCACTTACCTATTCAACTCTTCAGTCAGTTGTCTTCCCTCAAGATTTTAAATATGTAGATAATTTAGCCCTTTTACATACTTGTACAGTTCATTTGAGGAGTGGGAGGAGAAAAGGAAGGGAAGCAAACCAATGATATGCTCCTGAGTTTGTGGTGTGACAACTGCTCATTCTATTCTATAGACGTGTGTTACTGCCCTGGCCATTTGCAGTCCAAGCCCACAATTAGCTATTAAATGGCCATTATAAGAATCATGCCGATAAACATGATACATTGCAGCCATACAGACACTTTAAATAATTATTCTTTTTATAACTAAGCCGTATACTGAAGGAGATTTATAATTTAGAGATAATATCCCCATTAGTAAAGTTTATGACCCAATAAACAGCTCTCACTAGTTAATAAATGCCAAAGCCATAAAAACAGAGACTATTAATGTAATAGAATTTCTGTACCTCCCACTTTTGCTGGTGGTCCCGAGGCACTGAAGGGAAATGCTATCTTAGGAAAAACATTTATTCTCGTTATGTAAATATCAATGAATTGTCTTACAATCCATCTGGAAAGCTCCCAGCCCCCCTTGGTCCCAGGTGGTCCAGAAATGCTGATGCATTCTGCTTAGGTTTCAAGCAGTAGATAACTGGTTTTCAGCACAAATAAACCCTGTGACTCAAATCTTTGAGGGAGGTGGGGAGGAGAGGCTGGGATTTCTGCCTCTTCTCTCTAAAAAAGAAACATCACAACTATTGCCATTATTCCAGGGTAATAATTTTTTTTTTTAAGTTTCACAACCTTTGCGTATACTTACATTTCTAGCTGTCTCTTCTCTTCCCTCTGAAAAAGAGAAATCCCAACTATTGTCATTATTCCAGGGTAGCGATGTTTTTTAAAAGCTTCACAGCCTTTGCACATACTTATATTTTTAGCTGCTAACATTTTCTCACTTTGACAGAAGAGCAAGTGCTGCCTGTGGCTGGCCGGGTGAGTTGAAGGTTAATATAGGCAAACCTTTTGTACTAAGAACTAATTGTTTTTTAGTATTCTTGGAACTGTGGGAATGATTGATAAAGTCATTTGAAAGCCCAAATCACATCTTTTCAGAAAAACAACTGATTAAAAGCTGTTAAAGTTCACATTAAATGGTTAGCTGAGTCACTGTTGAGTATGGATGCTGTCAGCAGATAACTAATTTTCAATGTCTATTTGCCTTTTCTTTTTCCTTTTTAAGGTAACAGTTTGAACCATTTTAACCCAACCTTTTGAAAACAAAAGTGGATAAGGCTATTGGTTGACTTTAGTGCTTGCTAAAATATTGAAAATTTTTATCAATAGAGAGATCAGAAGTGCTGTAACTATAAAGCATTATGTTTTAAACATGTTGCCTACTTTAAGTATTGCATTTTGCATTTGATTCAGTAAATATCAAATATTCCATTCTTTGTTAGTTGTCTTTTTTATGTTACACTTTTTGAGATTTTGGAGTCCCTGGGTGGTGCAAACAGTTAACGTGCTCTGCTGCTAACTGAAAAGTGAATGGTTCAAGTCGACCCAGAGATGCCTTGCATAAAAGTCCTGGTGATCTGCTTCCAAAAGATCACAGCCAATGAAAACCCCATGAAGCACACAGTTCCACTTTGACACACATGGAGTCACCATGAGTTGGAGCCAACGCGTTGGCAACTGGTTTTATTTGAGGTTTGGTTATTTGGGTTTGTAGCGCTGCTAGTCTTTGACACCTCCGTCATGAGTTTAGAATATTTAAATTGCCCTTTCTTCATTCAAATAGAAGGGAATTATTGATGAACAAAATGAAATCTTCCCCAAATAAAAACAATATCTTGCCTTTCCAACTTGGGTTTATCTTAATTTGAGAGAGGATTGCTTCATAGCATTTTCCACTTGTTTCTTTTCCCTTCCTCCACGTGTTACGATTTTGCTCTAAGTTAGTTAAATTCTTCAATAATAGATTAATGAAATAGTAGGTCTTTCCACAAAATAAATATTTTTATGATATTGAATAATGTAAAACACATTGAAGAATGAACTGTCATACCCCCCAATTATATATGCATTCTCTTTAGTTAAGATTATAGTATCCTGAATTTTTAATACCCTTCAAAATTGTCCTGTAAATGACCTTTCAGCAAACAGCTTCCAAATGCTGGTATAAACATACACTCAAGCGATGATTCTCTGCCCTAATGTTTGTTTGGGCAAAATTTGAATTTAAGTTGGAAGGCAGGTTAAGACCTTTTTGAAAATGAGTCTTTTAAAGTTGACTCAGCATCTTCAGAGACACAGTGCTCTTCAATTCCCAAGAGAATGTTATGTATAAAACTGGAAAACCCACTGAGGCCAGATCAAAGAGACTATTTAACAAAAAATAAACCTGGAGCAATAATTGAGCAAACATCGTTATTACTGTGTAATTAACTGAAGAGAAATTGTAATCGTAATTCACCTCCACCCACCTTCTTCCACCAGATTATGTATTGGTTTAAATACATGTTTTCATTCAAGGGCAATTAAGTTCCCTAAAACTACGAGTTCTGAGACACCTTTGTCAATAGAGTGGTCAGAATGTGGAAATACTAATCACCATCTACTTCTTTGCATCTATTCCGAGTCTCCAGTAAAATTCCTTCTAAGGGGACTTCCGAGCCCATTATACCATCGGTGTGTGGTACAGGAACCCACGGGTCAGCACTGCTGGTCAGAAGCAACTGGTAACGGCTAAAAAATGCAGCTGATGAAAAACTCCACGATGGCTCTGTAAGCAGAGAATTAATGACTCGCTAGAATCAGTAGGAGCCTTTACTTCTAAATACTCATTAGTTTAAGCAGTGAGGCCTGATGTTATGCACGTTAGCGAGGGAAAAGGGGGACCGCCCTTCCCCATTGTCTATTTTGAACAGAATATGCACATTTAACTCAAAGTGGTGAATGGTTCAAACACATCAAACCAACTATTCATCTCCCAGCTTCCTGAGCATGGCTTTGCATCTGTATAAAGCCAACAATAAAGGAAATACTTGTTATGAGCCCACTATAATATTAAAATCCAGAGTGGCTGATAGTTTAGTGAAAACACAAAAATGCATTCTCCTTTAGAAATAGTTCCACCAAAGTCATCTTTGTGTTTGCTCTTTGCTACTTTGACTATACAAGAACATCAGACTGAAATAGGAACTTGATAAAATCATTTTCGCCTGTTCCTTCTCCCTTGCTACCAGGGCTCTTCATAATTGCTGTGAGGCCACCATTGAATGCAGAACAGGAGCTGCAAAGCCATTTCAGACTGCTGCAAAGATCCCCCTTTTTACTTGTGACTGGAGAGTGGAGAAGGGAATAGGGGGCACCTTGTGCTTGTAACTCACGTTAAAGACTCTGAACATCATCCTAAGGGAATGAAAAGTTACTGAAAGATTTTCATCTGGGGAATGAAAAGACCAT